ATTTTGGAACTGTCTCATGAACACTATGCCACATGCAGGAGTATTTTCAAAGCCATGCTATATTTAATATGTAATGATAAGTTTTTAAATTAATATAGCATCTAATATCTATTGAGAAATGCTTTATTATCTTATTTAATCCTCTCAACAACACTCCTGTGAGGTAGCTGTTATGATATTCTCCTTCTGGCAATGAGAACATTGACAATGAGAAATGACTCAAATACCCAGATCTGGGAAATATGAGAACTCAATAGTTGTTCATTAAAGAATGTTTGAGTAAAATGAGATATAAAAATGACAGTAAAGAGTTCCCGTAATTTACTGCTCCTTTGAATTTTTCTCTACATATTTATGAATAGAAATAGGGATGCTTGGTATTATATATAAATAAACATTTTAAGTGGAATTTGAATATTTGGCTTTATATTCTCTTTTTTTGGTTAACTTATTAGCAAGCAATATTGAGGTCTTTCACCTGTGCGAGTACTATTTAATGACAAAAGTAATAATTAAACACCTTCCTATACCACTTAACCCGATCTGACATTTGCTTTATTACTTAAGCTTCTTGTGCCTCACTTTTCACAAATGCATGTTGCCTACGTAGGTATCTTTCAAAGTAATAAGAGGCTTACATGATCACATTACATGGGGGCAATGCACAAAACACTCAAATATTAGTACCTGTCACATCACAAGTCTTCAATGATGTTATAAATTCTCATTATTAATATTATTTTCAAACAAGACCAAATTACTTTCTTAAAAGTTGGTGTTTTTTACCCTTTTTATTGATGTTCAAATACAATTGTCTCCATTTTCCCACCACCACTTTCCCTCGCCGTACCCATGCCCACTTCCCACCCTCAATCCCACCCCCCTTGGTTCCTTCCATGGGTCCCTCATTCATGTTCATTTACTTTCCCCTTCTTTCCCATGTTATTTCCCTCTCCCTTCCCCTCTGGTTGCTGTCAGTTTGTTGTGGATTTCAGTGTCTCTGGTTATATTTTGCTTGCCAGTTTGTTTTGTTAATTAGGTTCCACTTATAGGTGAGATCATATGGTATTTGTCTTTACTGCCTGGCTTACTTCACTTAGCATAATACTTTCCTGTTCCATCCATGGTGTAATGAAGGGTAGGAGCTCCTTCTTTCTTTCTGCTCAGTAGTATTCCATCATGTAAATGTACCAGAGTTTATTGATACACTCATTTACAGATGAGCAAGGCTGCTTCCAGCACTTGGCTATTGTACATTGTTGCTATTGCTATAAACATCGGGGTGGGGTGCATAGGTTCTTTTTAATTAGTGTTTCAGGATTCCTAGGGTAGAAACCCAGCAGTAGAATTGCTGGGTCAAAAGGCAGTTCTATTTTTACTTTACTGAGGAAATTCCCTACTGTTTTCCACAGTAGTTCACCAGTTTGCATTCCCACCAACAGTGTACTAGGATTCCCTTTTCTCCACAAGCTCACCAGCACTTTTTGTTTGTTGATTTGTTTATGATGGCCATTCTGGCTGGTGTGAAGTGATATCTCACCATGATTTTAATTTTCATCTCTCTGATGTTTAGTGATGCTGAGCATCTTTTCATGTGTCTCTGGGCCCTCAATATATCCTCATTGAAGAATCATCTGTTCAAGACGTTTGCCCATTTTTAATTGATTTTTGTTGTTTTCCTGGAGTGGTGTCATGTGAATACATTATATATTTTGAAGACAAAACCGTTGTCTGAGATATCATTGACAAATATGTTTTTCTATATGGCTGGCACCCTTTTCATTTTAATGCTGTTTTTTTTAACCATGCAGAAACTTTTTAATTTCATGAGGTCCCATTTGTTTATTCTTTCCTTTATTTCCCTTGCTCTAGGGGACACATCAGTGAAGATGTTGCAGCACAAAATATCTGAGATTTTCCTGCTTATGTTCTCCTGTAGGACTTTTATGGTATGACAACCTATATTTAAGTCTTTTATCCACCTTAAATTTATTTTTGTACGGTTCAATTTGTTGATCGAGTTTCATTTTCTTGTATGTAGCTGTCCAGATTTCCTAACACTGTTTGTTGAAGATGTATTTTCCCTCCATTTTATGCTGTTGTCCCCTTTTTCGAATATTAATGGACTGTAGAGACCTGGGTTTATTTCTGGGCTCTCTATTCTGTTCCATTGGTCTATGTGCCTCTTTATATGCCAGTACCAGGTTGTTTTGATTACAGTGGCCTTGTAATACAATGTGATATCAGGTATTGTGATCCCACCTGCTTTGTTCTTCTTTCTGAGAATTGCTGCAGCTATTCAGGTTCCATATGAATTTCTGAAATTTTTATTCTATACCTGTGAAATATGTCACTGGTACTTTAATAAGCATTTCATTGAATCTATAAATTGCTTTCTATAGTATGGCCATTTTGATAATGTTAATTCTTCCAATCCATGAGAATTGTACATGCTTCCATTTGTTTGTGTCTTCCTTAATTTCTTTTTTCAGTGTTGTATAGCTTTCTGAGTACAGGTTTGTTTTTTGTTTTTTTTGTTTTTTTTTGTTTTTTTTTTTTTACCTCCTTGGTTAGGTTGACTCCTAGCTATTTTATTTTTCTTGTTAGTGTATCAAATGAAAATTTTCCCTGGACTTCTGTTTCTGATGTTTCATTGTTGGTGTGCAAAAATGCTTTTGATTTCTGAATATTGACTTTGTACCCACTGTTCTGCCAAATTCACTTATTAGGTCAAGCAGTTTTTGGGTGGAGTCTATAGGGTTTTCTATGTACACTATCATGTCATCTGTAAACAAGGACAGTTTTGTTTCTTCCTTTCCAATTTGTATATCTTTTATTTCTTTTTCTTGTCTGATTGCTGTGGCTAGGACTTCCAGTACTATATTGAATACAAGTGGTGAAAGTGGACAACCTTGTCTTGTTCCTGATCTTAGTGGGAAAGCTCTAACTTTTTGTCCATTGAGTATGATGTTGGCTGTAGGTCTCTCATACATGGCCTTTATTAGGTTGAGGAATTCTCCCTGTATTCTCACTTTGCTAAGTGTTTTTTATCACAAATGGGTGATGTACTTTATCAAGTTCTTGTTCCACACCTATTGCTATGATCATGTGATTTTTGTCTTTCATTTTGTTTATGTGGTGTAGTACATTTTTTGATTTGTGAATATTTTATCATCCTTGCATCCCTCAGATGAATCCCACTTGGTCATGGTGTATGATCTTTTTAATGTATTGCTGGATGCGATTTGCCGATATCTTGTTGAGGATTTTAGCATCTATGTTCATCAGCGATATTGGCCTGATGTTTTCTTTCTTAGTTATGTCTTTATCTGCTTTGGGAATTAGGATGATGCTGGCTTCATAAAAAGAGTTTGGGAGTCTACTGACTTCTTGAATTTTTTGAAATAATGTGTGAAGAATAGGAGTTAGCTCTTCCTTAAATGTTTGTAAAATTCTCCTGTGAACCCATGTGGTCCAGAGCTTTTGTGTGTTAGAAGCTTTTTGATTACTGCTTCAATTTCATCAGCTCTTATTGATCTGTTCAGACTTTCTGCTTCTTCTTTGTTGAGTTTTGGTAGATTGTATTCTTCTAGAAATGTGTCCATTTCACCTCGGTTTTCAAATTTTTTGGCATACAGTTCTTTATAGTAATTTCTTACAATTCTTTGTACTTCTTAGGTATCAGTTTTAATCTCTCCTCTTTCATTTCTGATTGTGTTTATTTGGGTCCTCTCTCTTTCTTTCTTGATGAGCCAGCTTAAAGGCTTGTCCATTTTGCTTATCTTTTCAAAGAACAAACCCTTGGATTCACTGATCCTTAGAATTGTGCTTTTAGTCTCTGTGTCATTTAATTCTGCTTTTATCTTGGTTATTTCCTTCCTTCTACTAGCTCTGGGCTGTCTTTGTTGTTGTTCCTCAAGTTCTTGCAGTCATAAGGTTAGGTTTTTTATTTGAAATGTTTCTATCATTTTTAGGTTGGCCTGTATCACTATGATCTTTCCTCTGAGGACTGCCTTTGCTGTGTCCCATAAGTTTTGGGTTGCTGTGAGTTCATTTTCATTGGTTTCCAGAAACTTTTTTATTTCTTCCCTAATCTCATTCTTGACTCATTCATTGTTTAATAGCATGCTAGTCAATCTCCATGAGTTAGTGTGTTTTGGTTTTTTCCTTGAGGTTGGTTTGTAGTTTCAGTCCCTAGTGGTCAGAGAAAATGTTTGGTATGATTTCCATTTTTTTGAATTTGTTGAGGCTCGTTTTGTGTCCTATCATATGGTCTACCTTTGAAAATGTTCCATGTGCTTTTGAAAAGCATGTGTATTTAGCTTCTTTGGGATGAAGGGCTCTCTATATATCAGTTAAGTCCATTTAATCTAGGGTGTTGTTCAATACCACAATATCTTTGTTGATATTTTGTTTGGAAGATCTGTCCATTTTTGACAGTGGGGTATTAAAATCCTCTACTAAAATTGTGTTGCTGTCAATATCTTTCTTGAAGTCCTCCAAGATTTTCCTTATATATTTGGGTGCTCCTATGTTGGGTGCATAATATATTTATAATGTTTATGTCTTCTTGGTAGATTCTTCCCTTGAGTATTATGAAGTAATCTTCTGGGTCTCTTTTTATAGAAGGTTTTTTGAAGTCTGTTTTGTCTGATATGATTATTGCTACCCTGGTTTTTTCCTGTCCATTTTCTTTGAATATATGTTTCCAACTCTTCACTTTCTGTCTGTGTAGGTCTTTTTTTCTGAGGTAAATCTCCTGTAGGCAATATATGTATATGTCATGTTTTCTTATCCATTCCACTATTCTGTGTCTTTTTTAGGGGGGATATTTTTTTATTTTTTATTTTTTGGGTTTTTAAAATATATACTTTATTGATTATGCCATCACAGTTGCTCTATTTCCCCCTTCATTTCCCTCCACCCTGCACACCCCCTCCTCCACCATTCCCCCTCTTTAGTTTATGACCACATGTCTCAAGTTCTTTAGATTCTATATTTTCCCTACTATTCTTGTCCTGCCCCCTATCTATTTTCTACCCCTCTGTCTATGCTACTTATTTTCTGTACCTTCTCCCCCCTTCTCCTTCTCCCACTCCCCTGTTGCTAACCCTTCATGTGATCTTCATTTCTATGGTTCCACTCCTCATCTAGCTGTGCTCATTTTAATCTTGGCTAATGTAATTATGATGTGCCTTAGTGTGTTCCTTCTTGGGTCCCAATTCTTTGGAACTCTCTGAGCTTCCTGGATTTCCTAGAAGTCTATTGCCTTTGCCAGATTGGGGAAATTCTCCTTTATTATTTGTTCAAATAAGTTTTCCACTTGTGGTTATTCTGTGTCTTTTCATTGGGGCATTTATTTCATTTACATTTAAGGTTAGTATTGATAGGTGCTTATTCATTGCCATTTTTTCATGCCTGTGTTCCTCTTACTTTAACTGCTTTTATTCCTGTTCTTAAATCAAATCTCCTGCAGAGACAGTTTTTAGAAGGTATATTATTTGTGGCTTCTTTTGTCCAGGAAGCTTCATATTTACCCTTCAATTTTAATTGATAGCCTTGGCGGATAAAGTAGTCTTGATTGCAGTCCTCTGGTTTTCATTACCTGGAGTATTTCATGCCATTTTGTTCTGGTTTAGACCATTTCCATTGAGAAGTCAACTGCTAGTCTTATTGAGGCTCCAATTTGTTACTTCCTGTTTTTCCCTTGCTGCCTTTAAGATTCTCTCTATCTGGGAATTTTGCCATTTTTATTGTGATATGTCTTGAAGTGGGCCTCTTTGGATTCCTCTTGATTGAGACTCTCTGTGTTTCCTGAATTTGTGTAACTTTTTCTCTCATCATATTAGGGAAGTTTTCCATCATTACTTTTTCAAAAAGGTCTTCTATCACTTGCTCTTCTCCTTCTCCTTCTGGTATCCCTATTATATGGATTTGATTATGTTTCATATAGTCCTGCATTTCCCATAACCCTTCTTCATTCTTTCTGAGCCTCTTCTTCTTGTCTCCCTGATTCTGAGTGCTTTTTTCTACCTTGTCCTCCAACTCGCTGATCCGATCCTCTGCATCATTAATCCTGCTTTTGATTCCTTCTACTGTGTTCTTCAGTTCAGAAATTGTATTCTTCATTTCATCTTGGCCCTTGTTTATCATTTCTATTTTCTTTTTCATGTTGATATAATTTGCAGTGTGTTCATTGTAGTTCCCCCTGTGGTTTCTTGTAGCTCATTGTGAGCCCTTTGAACTTCCTAATAACCAATGCTTTGAATTCAATATGTGATTGCTGACTTGCCTCTATTTCATGTAGCATTCTTTCTGAGGCTTACTCCTTTCCTTTATTTGGGGAATGTTTCTTTGTCTTCCCATTGTTTGTGAGACTCTTCTTGTTAGCTTCAAATTCTTAAATTGATTTGTTCTGGCTTTCTGGATTTATGGTGTGAACTTCTGTGGTATAATGCCTGTGAGATTCAGTGGTGTAGTCTCCTTGATCTCCCAAGCTCACTGGTCTTGGGCTGTCCTTTAAGTTGGCTCTGTGTTTGTCTTTGGGTTTTGATTGTTTCAGGGTCTTTCTTTTGTGGGTCCTTTCCACCAGCTGGTTAACTGAGGGTCACTCTGTCCACTATCTTTTGTATTCTATTGAGCAGGTGTGGGCAGGTTGTGTTGAAGCTGGTTCTTCCATGTGCACAAGGTTTTGAGGATTCTCTGTTGCTCTTTTTCAGTTGTTTGTACTGGGTTGTTTCTCCACCATTTAGTTGTATTTCTGGATAGGTCCTGGGTTGAGTTAGTGTGGCTTCCACTCCCTCCTTCACCTTTTTCCATTGCTATCTGTTGGTGGTTCCTTTGTTGTTGGGTTTCCTCTTCCAGCAGGTATCCTGGTATTCACAGCTTCCTCCTACTCATTTTTGTGAGCAGTTGGAGGGGGAAAGGCAAAAATGGTTTAAGACAGGAAGAGTGGGTTTTATGATATTTACAGTACCAGCCCATAGAGAAGAGATAGGAAATCCTTTGAATATGTATAGTGTTAACCATGATATTTCACCTGTCTAGCCACTTTTTAGAAATGGTGGAATGAAAATAAGACTCTTGTTTGTGGGGGAAGGAATGTGAGTTTGATCTAGTAAGCAGTGAGGTTGTAGAAGTTCAAGTTATGAGACAAAGTGAGAGTAAAGGATAGAAAATAGGTGTAATGTGTGAGAGAATAAAGTTAACCATAATAGCAATCGAGTTCAGGAAACCATGAAGTGACTAAGATTTGGGAGGGGTGCTGTGTAGTATTTACAATAGTATGGAACAGCTATTATTTACAATAATAATGGAGTAACAATCATATGACAGAATTTATGTGATGTGGATAACCAGAATAGGAAGTATAGGGCCTAGAGGAGTGTGCTAATAGAACACAAATGAAGTGAAAGAAAGTAAATTAACAACACACTATGAAAGAGAGAACAAGGGAAACCAGTCAAGCAATGCAATTTAACCAGCTAAGAGAGGGACTAATCAGAAAGAAAACAATACTAATACTAATTAGTACGATACAAACGATACTATTAACGATTAACGATACAAAAGTACTAATAAAATAAAAGATGTAAGAATAATGAAAAAATATAATACAAATATGCAATACCTTGCAAATTGTCTGTAGTAGCAAAGTAAAATTTGTCTCACTGTCTCAGCTGTTGGGATGCCCCTTCCTTGGGTCCATTTCTGGTCTTTGCATAGTTCCACGTTTTTTTGTCTCACTTGTGGGAATTGTATTTTTTTAAAAAGGAAGGAAGAAGAGACAAAAAAGGGAAAGAAAGAAAGAAGGAATAAAACAAGGAAGAAGGAAAAAGAGGAAGAAGGAATTTAAAGATAAAAAATTAAAAAATAAAGAATTTTTAAAAAGCCTCGTGCTGATTTCAAACTGGCCAACCCAGTTTTGCTGTTCTTCCTGGCTGCAGCAGGCTGAGGGGTGATTGATTTCACTTTTCTCCCCTCCTGATCAGCAATCAGCCTTTAGCCCAGTTCCCCAGTAACCTCTAGTCTGAGCTGGCATTCTCCCTGGGGCTTTTCGTGTGGGCTTGAGGCCTTTATCAGAACATACTCTCCCTGGTTTGCAGGCCAGTGTGCTTGGCTTGGCTGCCTCTGGTCCCTCAGGTTCAGACATGCACTCTTCCCAGGGCTATGGAAGTGTGTGCGGGGCCTTCTGTGCCACCTTGGTAGTGCTGCACTGCTGGGTGTGGAGAAGGCCAGAGTAGCTGCTGCAGGAGAATTCCCTAAACAGTCGCCAAGTGTCTCTTTTTTCACTTTTTCTTTTTGAGAAATCCCTCCTATTCAAGCTTGCCTCTCCATACAGAGGCCCGGCCTCTCACACAGCCCACCTCTCCAACCAGACCAGGGACTATCCAGATCTGGACCATCACAGCCCAACTCTCAACTCTCAACTGCCCCAGCCGCCATCCACAGACTCTGTAGGTGATCACAGCCCCTGTGTGTTTGTCACTTAGTTATTATTCCCCTCTTTGTGACTTCAAGCAACCTAGTCTCTCTTGGTGCTGCTCAAACCTCATTTGGCCAGTGAGGGAGCCATTGACCCAGCCCTTTCCCAAGAGCCCTGTGGCAGACCCAGTGGGTGCCGGACCTGGGGCTACAGCTGCCCCAGGAATCTTATTGTCCTGAAATACTCTCCTTACAGTCTGATTTTTCAATGTCCTCTATAATTTTTGGTCTCTAATCTTCATATATGCTGGGGTACTTTTGGCTGTTTGCTCAGTTCCTTAGTAGATCAGCTAGGTATTTCACCTGTGTGCAGGGAGTAGTGGGCTCTGCTCCCACCTACCTGGCCTCCATCTTCCTCAGGCAGAATTCTGAATAGGAATAGAGTAGACGGAAACACTATTTTTTCTCTCCAACATCTTTCTTCATTCACAGCACAGTATAGTAACATCATAGCATTTAAAGCAATGCCTACAATAATTGTTAATATTTACTAAACTTTATAAAATTTCTGTAAGCAATTAATCTATAAAATATACATAGTTCTACATACATTTGTGGAAAAATGATCTTGTTAGTGATTATAAAGTAATGATACTTTCTATTTTCATGCTACCCATATATAGCTACACACATTCTCACAAAATATGGTAAAATATTTATAACTGAGCTCAATAATTGGTATATGTGAGAAATATTTTAAGAAAAAATGGGAGAAAATGGCTCTCAAGAGGAAGTTATCATTGAATTATTGTAACACGGGCATTTTGATGTGGTATTCCGGGATCTGAGAGTTCCTGAATACCAGGAACATGATAAAATAACACTGTGACAAATTTTACCAGGAAGGACTTGTATGGGTCATAAAGCAAACCTTCCACCCCTGTCACTGCCTCTGCAGAACAAGGGTTGTCACTGCATTTCTGGTGCTGATTAACACCCCTCAGAGTGTCCATTCTGACTAGTCACTGGCAATGCAAAGCCAATGGATTTTTCTTGTGTCTTTGGCTTGGGTTTGTAAGTTGACTTCCCCCTTACTTATCTTTTCATTGTTTTTATCTCCAGAGTCAACTTTTTCAAGTGCCTCTGAATTCCCTCCCTTGCATTTCAGATGGAGACACCAAAATAAGAATATCTCAGGATCAACTCTCCTTTACCCGGTCACCAGACAAAACAGTGCACATAACCTGCAAGCTGTCTGGGGTTCCCCTTGAGAATGCCATTGTGCACTGGTATCAACAAAAAGAAGGGGAGCCCTTGAGACGAATCCTTTATGGCTCAACCAAGAATAATAAGGATGACCAGCTAAATCCCCGCTTGGAGACATATAGGAAAGATGATGGAATCTTTTACCTGATAATCAATAATGTTGTCAAGTCTGATGAAGCCACCTACTACTGTGCCTGCTGGGATCTCACAATGCCACAGAATCAAAAGAACCTGTAAAAAAACCTTCTCTGTTACTAACTCTCAACTCTGGTTACACTGAGCAACCACAAGAGACCCTTTAATGCCCTTAATCTTAAATTCAGAAACTGTTGAGACAGGCAGGGCTCTTAGGACGTGTTCAGCACAGTGTTGACACTTGAAATGAGGAAGCTGGGGCCAGCTCATAAATGGTAAACAATTTGTCCAAAGCCTGTTAAACCACAGAAACAGGGCTCCTACTTATGTTTCAGATTTGCAGTCCAGTGCCTTTTCCTGTCTCTCTGATGGTCAGTGTCGAATTTCTTTTAGCAAAATTGTATTTTTTTCAAAAGGAAGCTACAGCAACTAACTACACCTTGTCTTCAAAGTGAGGTCCCTAGAATGTGATAAGGTCTGATATGTAGGCAAAGTGACTTCCCACTGTTAAGAGATGACAGTCAGCAGGGGATGGACTCCAAGCTCCATCTGTCCCTATGTTATTTCCCCATGACTATGTACTACCCTCTACCTCTGTAGTTTCCTATCAATTCTGAAATACCCAATAGTTGAATAGTTTCCTGGCATAAACATCAATTATGTGAGAGGTGAAGATTAGTTTATCATGAATATACTTGTAAATGTTTGCCAGTTACAGAACAACCTGCTGAACCAAGGTTCAAATTCCCTGCTCTTTACTCTGACCTGACACCTAACCTAACTGCATGATTGTGCACTTGGTTCCTAATTTGATAGCCCTGACCTGCTTTCTGTATTGTTAGTCTAGGGACCTTTTCATGTCCAAGGTCTTAGCAGCCACAGCTTGAAAACAAGTGCAACAGTAGGAACAACAACGTAACCATAACATTACAGCTAAAAACCTCTCTTCTTGGATGTCTAATAAGTATCCAGAACGCAATTATTGATGCTAATATCCTTCCCTCACCTCAACCCCCACAATTTGTATTATTTTTCTCCATGAACTTTCCTGTCTCAGGAAAGTACAAAGGTATATTGTATCACTGAACACAATACCAGGGATGTTTTGTCAAGCAGATGGTGTTTTCTTAATTTTCCTATGTCTTTTACTTTATCTAGTAATGAGAGAAAAATAGATGACAAAACCTGAGAATTCTTTAAGTTTTCCCCATGATACGAAATCTGATAAAAGAGACAGAAGACCCTGGGAACTGTGGTTTCCGCAGCCAGAATGTAAACCACAAACCCAGCCAACCCCAGGGGCACCACCTAAGTCTAGAACTGGCTTTCCAGACAGAGCTCCCAGAGTAAACCCTTAGATCCAGTGCAGAGAACTGCCACTCCTCTCTCTCTCTCAAATTTAATGTAAGTTTAGAAACTCTATTTATTTTCTAGCTGACAAGTGCAGGACAATCAACAAACTCATGAGAGAAATAACCACTTAATCCAAACAATATGTATAATTTGAACTGTGTGGCCCAATTGTTCTCATGGACATTTTAATCTCCTAGTGTAACTCATGGACAAGTGAAAAGAAGCTAACTTGTAGAATTTAATTCAAAATTCCAATTAAACTAGAACCAGTCCTCACATTTGCAAAAATATAATCTCATTAGTGAGATGCTTGTATTGACTGTACATTGCTATTAGAATAATCAAATCGAACATTTCACCTACTTTCTACTTAGGATGCTATTCCCTGTAATTCTCAGAAAACAATTATCCAATATGTCATAATTCGCCATTTGAGATACAGATCCTCTAATTATAGACCCTAAATAGGGCCTGGAAACTGTCCCTGCCACACACATCTTTCCAACTCTACCCAAGAAGTGTGAAGTACTTGAAAAAACAGTGTTAGGTACTTTGAACCTTGAACTCAAATTCCTGCTCAGTTTGAAATCCCTGGCTTTCAGTTCCCTCTCTGCCTTTTAACAGTGATAACAATTACATATGTAAAGCTGAGCAATTTATATGCATGTCTAACTCAGAGCAGATCCCATATGTATGAATTTCCCTTTCTTTTACTACTAGAGAACACAGAGCCATGTCTTGTCATGTCAGAGCAAGGAGAAAGAAGGGAAGGCAGATTTCGGCCTAAGGTACAGTGTTCCTTCTCAAAAAAAATTTTTTTTACACAAGTGTGCCTTTCATGAATAGCTGTTCAGAACAGACAAGCATATCTTGTTTGCAAAATAGAAACAAGTGCTTCACCAAACATGTTTTCCTGTAAGTGCTGTATGAATTAAGAGGTATTCGAATTGCATATAAGGCCATGTGAAGTAAACAAAGTGCAAGGAGCCCTAGGAGACTAAAAATTCACGAAGTTCAGGATGAAGACAGTTGGTAAAAATGCTAAAGGGAAGAAGCTGCTGAAATGTGAAATATCCTGGTTTCTGCTGAACACGGTCCTGAGTTTTAATAAAAAAGTAAACACAGTACTTTCCAATAATCTATTGTGCTATACAGAAACGAATCTAATATGATGTAAGTCATGTGTAAAATCAAAATTATCTCAAATTGTGAGAGCTAGTGGGTCACAGATAGTAGTGGTTTTATCTCTTGTACAAGTAACATATTATATTAATTTTGCTTTAAGTAGCCTTCTGGACATCTTTCTTACGGAAGTTTCCGTAACTTACTCATGTACCAAATTTAATTAAAAGACATTAAAATTTCTAGAAGATAAACCAATGTGGAAAACATGTGTGAATTTTTTTGTTTTTCAAGATATTCACCACATCCTTGAATAAAACATGAAATGTATCTTCATAACATTTTAACAAATATTTTATTGTTTATGCTTTTACAGTTGTCCCAATTTCCCTCTTTTGTCCCCTTTCACCCAGCCCCCAACTCCCTCAGGCAATCCCCACACTATTGTTCATTTCCATGGGTCACACATACTTATTCTTTGGTAAATCTTTCCACCTTCTTTAAACCAACCCCTCACCATCTCCCTTCTTGCAGATCTCAGTCTGTTCACTGTTTCTATGCCTCTGATTCTATTTTATTTGTTAGTTTACTTTGCTCATTACATGCCACATATAAGTGAGATCATATTGTGTTTGTCTTTGACTGGCTTATTTCACTTAGTAGTCTCTGGGTTCACCTGTAACTGTCACAAAAGGTAAGAGTTCCTTCACTTTTACTGTTGTATACTATTCCATTGTGTAATTAACCACATCTCTTTTATCCACTCATCTTCTAATGGGCACTTAGACTATTTCCAGATATCTTGGTGATTATAAATAATGCTGATATGAACACAAGGTTGCATATATTCTTCTGAATTTGTGTTTTGAGATTCTTTGGATATATTCCCAGAAGTAGAATCAAACTCTGGATCAGAAGGCAGTTCCATTTATAATTTTTTGAGAAAACTTCGCACTGTTTTCCATAGTGGCTGCACCAGTCTGCATTCCCAACAGTGAATTAGGGTCCCTTTTTCTCCGCATTTTCACCAGTTCTTATTGTTTGATAGTTTATTAAATTGTAGCTATTTTTGCAGGTGTGAGGTGATAGTTCATTGAGGATTAATTTGCACTTCTCTTATGATTAGCGATGTTGAGAATTTTCTCACATATCTATGGGCTATCTCATTGTCCTCCTTGGAGAAGTGTGTATTGTGGTCCTTTGCCCCCTTTTTAAATTAGATTGTATGTGTCCTGGTTTTGAGTGCTATAAGTTCTTTATATAATTTGGAGATTAAACATTTATTTGATATATTATTGACATATATATATTCTCCCACACAGTGGGTTCCCTTTTCATTTTGATTATAGTTTCTTTAGCTATGTAAAAGCCTTTTAATTTGATGTGGTCCCATTTTTTTTTTTTTGCCTTAGTGTTCCTTGTGCTGGGAGACATGGGCAAGGATATTGCTATGCAACATATCTGAAACTTTACTGCCTTTGGAATTTTCCATCCTTTAGAACTTACTGCCTCTAGGAATTTTATGGTATTGTGATTTATATTTAAGTCTTTTAACCATTTTGGGTTTATTCCAATATATTTGAGTTGGGGGTCTACATTTTTCTTTGTTGTATGTACTAGTACAGTTTTCTCAACAGCATTTATTAAAGAGATTGTCTTTATTCCAATGTATGCTCTTGCCTCCTTAGTCAAATATTAACTGACCACAAAGGTATGGGTTTATTTCTGGGCTCTTTGTTCTGTTTCATTTATCTATATGTGTGTTCTTATGCCAGTACCAGGTTATTCTAAATAGAATGTCCTTCTAGTATAGTTTGATATCAGGTATTGTGATCCCTTCAACTTTGTTCTTCTTTCTCAAGATTTCTGAGGCTATTCTGGGTCTTTTGCTTTCATTAAATTTTTAGAATACTTGTTAAGATCTGTGAAATAAGCAATTGGTGTTTTAATAGAAATTGCACTAAATCTAGATTGCTTTGGGTAGTATGGCCATTTTAATGATGTTAATTCTTTCCATCTATAAACACAATATATGCTTTCACTTACTTATATCTTCCTTTATTTTTTTTCTTCCATGCCCTGTAGTTTTCCAAATACAGTGCTTTTGCTACCTTGGTTAAATTTATTTTTAGATACCTTTTGTTGCAATAGTAAATGGGATTGTTTTCTTGTTTTTTTCTTTCTAATAGTTTATTACTGGTGTATAAAAATATAATAAATTTCTGAGTATTGATTTTATATTCAACCAAATTTCTGAATTGATTTATTAAGTTGAGTAGGTTTTTGTGGGGTCTCTAGAGTTTTCTATGTACAATATCATGTGAGCTAGTGTTTCCAGGACTGTGTTGAATAAGAATGGAGAGTGGACATCCCTGTCTTATTCGTGTACTCAAGGGAAACACTTTAAGTTTTGGCCTGTGGAGTATGATATTGGCTGTATTTTTTATATAGGGCCTTTATTTTGTTGAGGTATGATCCATTTATTCAAAATTTGCTGAGAATTTTTTTTATCATAAATGGGTGCTGGATTTTATCAAATGTTTTTTCTGCATCTATTGGTATGATCATGTGATTTTTATCTATCATTTTGTTTATGTGATATATCACATTTATAGATTTGTGAATATTATACCAACTTTGCATCCTTGGTATAAATCCCATTTGATCATGGTGTATGAT